TCGATAAATGAATCAAAGGCTAAAATTTGCATATTATTATTTTGTTAAAATTTGCATATTATTATTGTTTAATTTTTACTTACATATTTTTAATCATACATTACGAAATACAAATCTTAATAGACATTTAAAATGACATTAATTCACTCAGTGTTGCCAGATGGACTATTAAGCGCCAAAAAGGCTAACTTCCTAACCGAGCGGCGATGCTATTTTATCCCCTGGCTACAGGTAGCCGATTTGGCTCTATTTTTTTACGTGATATATCAATTGAGTTAGACAAAAATGTTGAAATTACTAAATTTTGGATTGCGATATGGAACTTTCGACATGCATCGGGAAACCAAAGTTTTAAAGAATTAGCTTCTTTTCTAATTAGAGTTCTTTCTTTACCAATTAGCAATGGTGATGTTGAAAGAGTGTTTAGTGTGATGTCTATTGTCAAAACGAAACTCCGCAGTCGAATGCTGCTGCCTATGCTCGTTGCGTTGATTCACATCAGAATAATTCACATGAGTGTAAACGGATATTGCTGTAATTATTACCTACAACTTAAAAGTAATAAAAACCTACAGTTTACTTTAAAAAAAATATGAAAGCTCGGAGGACTCAGTACAAACATGTGAAAAGAGTGATGATGCGCTTATTCAGTCTCTCAACTTGATGGAGGTACTAAATTAAGTAATTTATCCTATTTTAGTATGTTAAAAAAATTAACTCAGTTCTGTCAAAGGTTTATCTATAAAAAATATGAAATATAAAAATTTATTTAAATACTGTTATCTTATAGTACTTACTAAGATAATATTTCAAAGTATTTAATTATTTAATAATACTTTTTAAATCGAAGTGCAATCAATAAACATAAAAAATCTTGACCATTTGTACTTCAATAATTGAATTTCATTTCTATTTAAACTAAATTATTGTTAAATAATAGTACGAATTTAATGAATATAAAACCAATAATAAGCTCATAAATTTATTTTAATTTCCCACCTTAACTACCTGTGCGCCATGGTAACACTGGAAGCACTGATTATTTTGTATTGTTTAAAGTACGTTAATTGTCAAATGAAATGGAGCTCTCTGATTGGTCGGTAAACTGTTCATATATTTTTTTCGCCATTTTATTATTGTTGAATATTGTTACATTGTCATTTGTTTTTCTAAGCACAAGTAAATAGGTTTTAATTAGTAAACAGTGGATTAATTTATAAACGAATTATGGAAAATTATGACTGTGAGTTCTGTCATCTGTGCTTGTGATATGTGTTTAATGAAATTAGTTAGGTACGAGTAGATTTTCAATATTGTCGTTTGGTAATAAAATTAAAATAAGTGTAAAGTGAAGGTGTGTGAGTTGTGACTTGTGACCAGTTAAGATTGAACTAAAAGAAAGGTAATGTTATTCATTTGAATAAAAAGTATTATGATAGTTTTAATTAGTTAGCAGGTTGTGTACACACAAATAAGTTACTTTGTTTGCCTTGTTTGGTTTTTTTTCAAATGATAATTATAAGAATGTTTGAATCTCCACTGGATCTTCCTATTTAAATAACTTTAATAAAGTTGTGAGGAACAGATCGTAATCGTTGTAAGGTACTTTCGTGGCTCAGAGGTACCTAGTTGAGAGATTCATAAAGTATATAGATGTTCGTTCTGATCGGACTGCTGTAAGTTGTAACATTATGCGCGAATTTTATCAATATTTAAATGAAATTAATATTTTCTGATTTCTTCGCGTACATATTTTATTATGTTTAAAAACTACATATAATATCCGGGACGAATCTTGACCCTGCGCAGTAACAAATATTAGATGTCGTTTGATGTGCGGTCTGAGGCGAGGAGCTCATTACTACAGCAAACATGAAACAAGGCCGCCATTACTAGTAAGTAGTAACCATTGCAACGGGTGGATGCGTGGCCCCGCGCAGTGACACCGCGTCTACCGTCGTTTGTTTTTGTTTTGTTGATTTTGTGGGTTCTTTCTTTTGTTATTATAGGAAGATTTTAACGAATTTTACTAAAATGCCAAGAAAAATAATATAGTTCTAAAAAGACAAGCTCGAAAAATGATTTACGATGTTTACTGTTTTTTAATAATGCTAAAGATAAAATAATTAACCCCTTTGTGTTGTTTTACGTACTTACTATTTATTTTTAGATTTGTAGATAGTACTAGATTGTAGATTATTTTCGCAACGACTATACCTGCGCAGAGGACGCCATGTTAGGTCAGGTTTCGTGCCGGGTAATATACTTCCGACGTTTCGATTACTTTGCAGCAACCGTTATCACGACAGACATCTCGTCTGCCCGTTAAAAACAATAAAAATATTAGTTTCATTTCTAAATTCAAATCAATACTTGCGAAAGATATCATTATTATCAATGTTTTAGAGGAAGAAATGATGAAAATGGGTATTTTATTTTTCAAACATATTCTGTTTACCGTACCTTAATGTGTGCACGCCACTGCCCTCTCATTCCTTATCATAGCTTGAACTACAGCAACTACAGGTCTGACCCAACCCCCTGGTAGAGATATCAAGGTCCGCTTGATTCCAGTTTTAATACAAGTTCTTTTAAGATATGAAATATTTAAAAGAGTGTCTAGCTTTTAATTTTCGTAATCGCTAAAATCTCTCATTATATATATGTATTTATTTTTTCTATCCAATACTAACGCGAATTTAATGCACATTAAAAAGGTCAACTAATATTAAAAATATATATACGTTTATTTGTAAAATTTTATTATAATAACAAATCAGTATGTATACAACTTTGTATGTACCTACTGGGCTAGTACTGGAAAATATGTAACGCTTGTGTGAATTAGTGCACCTGTTATTAAGTATGTTTCGCATTCGAATACAGAAAATATAGCAGAATTTATTTAAATTAAATTAGTAATATTTGTTATAATCTATGAAACATCATAATAAGATATTTTATTACTGATCCTAAATTTTTCTTACTGGTCATTTCATCTCTAGAAAAACGACAATATGCGATATAATGTATATATATATATAAAAGAAAGTCGTGTTTGTTACACATATAACTCGAGATCGGCTAGACCAATTTTCACGGTTTTTGGTTCGTTGGGTTTGTCTCCGCCCCGAATAGCAGAATAAATGTTTAAAAAAGAAAACTCGACGAAAACATGTAAAGGATCGAACCCGGGTTCCCAGGATCGATCGTACCGGTTTTTACGGTTACTCGATTATGAGGCCCTCAGTTATACGGATTCGCGATTATCCGGACTACGGACAAGAAGAAATGTCCAAGCGTAAGAGAGTGGTGTTGTTGAGAGTGGCGTACGTCAAATGACAATTAACAAATATTCTAAACCAAATTATACTTATTATTATAATTCATGATTACCAATTTCAAATTACCAAATACATATTGTAATTTATTTTTTAAATAACCATATAATATTATGAACTACATAAGCACAAAACCGTCTTTTCTTCATACATTCGATTATCCGGATTTTCGATTATCCGAATGCCTTTCGACGATAATAATTAGTCCGATTAAGAGAGTTTCTACTGTACATAAAAATATAAATGTTACATTTTAAAATTGTTTTTGAATGTTATTAGTTGAGATCTGGACAGATTATCGAAATACTAAAGACTTATACTATTATACTATTAATTAAAACATATAATATTATATAAGAAGAAGACAGACCATTGTCATTCAAGTCAGCTGTACATAATTATTAAGAAATTTAAGAAAAGGTAACAGATATTTCTTGATTATAGGGCGGTACGAAGTCCGCCGGATCATCGAGGGTCATACAAGAAATTATGTCGAGCTTAATTCATCTAGGAAAAGTTATTAAAGGATTTCCCCCAACCTTGCGGAATCAGTTGCAAGTTATAAGAACAGTTCTTGAAACAAATAAAGAACTCGAGAATGGGTACGTATAATTCAACTACCACTATTAATTTACAATAATTCTATTTAACTAATCTTCTCTCATTTTTAGAATATCTTCGTTGCCCATTGGCTTTTGGATAGAACTGAATAGAATGCTTGTGAGCTCGCCCGCTACATATCCTGTACCGTTTTTAAAGATTAATGATTTTTTTAATTCAGAGGACCGCATTCCTTTAAATAGTTCAAGACTCTCTATGAATCTCTCCTTAATGCCATTCTACCTTCAAAATCTTACGACATGTTTGGACGTCACTGGTGATTTTATTATATTCAAATGCATTTATGTACTTACTTCTCGGTAACAGCTTTAGATTACAGTAATTTTAATGTTTTAATAATATTTTTTCAGCCTCATATTCAGTCATGGCATATGAAAGTGTTGCTTTGAAGGACCGTACGGACTATTCCATGCAGTTGCAACCTGTTTTGAAGATTTTATGGAAAAACTTCGGTACATTGGATTCAACGGCATTACTCAAATTGTAAATATTGTTTTCTTATATTTTCAAATTAATAATTAAATCTTCACATGCACATTTGTTAACATAATATTTTTCTTACAGGAAATCAGACGCTATATTCGAAATAAAAAAATACGAACAGCTCATTGATTGTCTGTCATATATAATTTTAGAAAATTATACAGTAAATGAGAGTATTATAGATAATTGTGACGTCATAACTAGAGAGCTACAATTATATTTTATAGGAGACGCGAATATTATAGACATGTTGAACAAAGCTAACGATATATTGACTCACGAATTTATTTGAAATTGACTAATATTGTTAAATTGTCATAAAGTCAGTTAGCAAGAGTTAGAACGTCCAATATAATATGTTAAGAAAGATATTAGGAAAATAAAAGGATGCCTTTATTTTCATTATTGTATAAGTAAGATTCTATAAGCTGTTTTAAAAACACGGTATAGTTAAATTGCATTTGTATGAACGTTACAGCTCTAGTTAACCACTCTGTATAATATTAAGTAATTTTGTGTAAAATTATTTTAATATTCCCTATTTTTTGTTCTTTAATGAAAAGGCTCGATCAACAAATATGGGGATCCGAAGACGAAGAAGATATAGACGAAGAACAAAATAAGAACGAGGCAAAGGTGAGAAAGAAATGGGCTCTAAAGAATAAGAACAAGGAAAAGATGAGCAGTGAAGGAAGGGAAAGGAAAAATAAGATATTAATGAAATGGAACCCGGAGTTGACGATGATCAGGTTAGTTATTATTGAAGTGTTGATGTTAACTATATTGTAAATGATTTATTTTGAAGGTTGATCCCTATCATGGAAAACAACAAGAACTACCTGAGCCCGAAGACTTTGAAATGCCCGATGATTTAAACTTGGACGGAGAAGAAAAAGACGATAAGGTAAACATATATTGTTCACGAAACTCTTCATAATAATTGTTTAATAAAATAATAATAAACTAAATATCACATTCAGGATGGAGAAACTGAAACTGAAAATCCGTTTGAAATCGACGCTATGAAAGAAGCTTTACAAGAAGAGCAGAAAGAAAATGATGATGAAGATAAAGATAAAGGAAATAAAAATGGTCTGGAAGTGTCCAGTGATGAAGAAGGTGAAGGAAACGATGCTGAACAGGTAGACTTATAGTATAATCGTCTATATATATAAAAATGGATTGCTGTTCCTTAGTCTCGCTAAAACTCGAGAACGGCTGAACGGATTTATCTTATCTTAGTCTTGAAATGTTCGTGGAGGTTCAGGGAAGGTATAAAAGCTGAAAAAAATTGATTCATTACTGGGAAAACCATAAAAACAGCCCTTTTCTATTTCCCATACAAACGTTTTTTTGACATTAGATTTGACAACTAACTAATATGTCAATCATTCTGTGGCACTTCAAAAAACGGAGATTTATGGTTTACAGGTAAACTCCAAAAATATAAATAAAAAAACGTAATAGATATGTCTTGATTATAGGGCGATACGAAGTTCGCCAGGTCTTCTAGTATTTTCATAAAATTAACATTATCGGATCTACTAGTCGATTTGTTATACTACAATTTACTGCGTTGACTATTTTCATTAAGACACTTTCATCCGAAAACCAAAGTTTTAATTGTTCTTTAGAGTTGTTAACCACTAAAACCTTCATTTAAAAAGCAAACTTTAGAAATATTATATTCAAACAATTATCCGTTTTAATCGAAATATTTGAGTTCTACGAGTTATTCTTTTAATTAACAATTTTTCTACTACATACTATTTTAGCAAGAAACTGCATCAAATTATTATTCTTTGTGATAATCTGCAAAATATATGTATTATGTTGTGCATTTGAATGTGTTTTTATGATTTAAAAAAATTCAGGCAAATATATACATATGTAAGTACAATTTGAATATTATTCCGTGATTTGTATTTGACTTCTAATTCGTAAATTTGATATACAAAAATGCCGATCTAGTTAAAATCATATTTCAATTTTAGTATTTACAATGTTTTCTTACTCGATATGTGGACGTGACCCGTTTGATATATCACTATAAAATAACTTTAAGCGAAACTTCCGGAATACTGTTTGTATAAACATAAAATTTTACTCTATGAATATTTTTAATAATAACAGCATTTATCATACACGTTATACTACATATTATTTCAAGGCACCTATGTTTATCCAGTTTCGTTTTTTATAACTTGTCTATTAAAGTTCGCTAAATAGATATCAATTATTTGTTAGACCTAAATACAGTTTCAAATGAGACTTTATTATAATATCTATAACATTAATATTCATTAATAAACAATACCCTTTTTCGTTTTAATGTAGTGCATATAAAGACATTATTATTACATATATAGAAATTAAGAAAACGTTACAAGGAAATCGTAACGGTTATTTTAATTTCATATTTTATTGAGTTTCACAATCAAAAGTTATGTTTCAATAATTGATACGTTTAACATTTAATAAGATTACATCATAATTATTTTTTCTGTGACAAAACTTTGTACTAGGATAAGAGTATGTAACTATTTCATGTTTTTTTAATATATGTACAGTTCTTTACTGGTCTGTTTATGGGGCCGGCCGGAACCTTTATACTTAAATTTTACGCAAATCGTTCAAGGTGTATGTATGTTTTTTAGATAAAACTAAAATATTATAACGAAATATTGGTAAGAGTTTTGAAACATCTAAGCAGAACATAAATTTTCTCCATTACCATTTATTTTGGAATCTTCATTTTGGATGTTTTTTTACACTAGTTATATGTACATTTAAAAATATTATATAGCATCAGGTACGATTTCCTGCTCTTAGGAGTAGGAGGTAAGTAAGTATATTTTCTAAGAATAAAAAAAAATTGTAACTTATATAACTGAACTTACAAAGCAGACTAGTAAAGTAAATAATAAAAATGTAATAACGCTGCTCCATAGAGATCAAAACCTTTGTATGAAGATACAAAGCTTCGTTATATTAAAAGTAAAATTGTATTAGAGGTATTCACATAATGTCTAACATTTGCGGTTCTTTTTTTCTCATTAAACTGATTGCACATTATCCCTTTAAATATAAATAATGGTGAAAGATTTTTATTCTGTAAGTAAATTTTCTATATAATTAAACTGAAGAGGAACGCTTTTAAATGTTTTTATTTAACTTATAAAAGTTAAAGTATTTTTGCAATTAAATGAAAATGTAAAGAATTTAATCTAAAAAGTTATTATTTTTTTCTAATAATTGTTTACGTGTAGGTATTACACACACACATCGACTGTATGATAATTGTAATACCTAATGTATGATGACTGTATGATCGATGTATGATAATTTGGTAGGATATCATAAAAAAATTACGTATTTTACATCGGCTCGGATTATGCAATTGTTATGGAAATATATAAAAGAAAATATGCATATTATACGCAAAATCGAGACTTGGTGATATTGCGTTTTCCCACTTTGAATTTAATTGGAAAGGTTCGGGAATATAATTGAATTTGATGTAAAAACTAAATCCAAGTAGTAATATTATTTTAGAAAAGTAAAAGTAATAAGTGATAGGTATTCCTGAAGTTGATTAAAAATACTTAGATTAAAACTACTCAGGCGCGATTCATTGTAGTATACGTTTTATGAATAATATTTAAAACCTTTATATTTAATACTTACTTTTATAAATATATTGTCACGATTGGATCTTATCGACTATTTATCATTATTCGATATATCCCAGAAGTATTCTCTCATGGCTATTTGACAACTGAATTGAATAGTGGACCGTTGGTTGATAATAAGTTATTGGCATACCATAAACCATAGTTCATAGTGTATTCAAGAATCAGGATAGATTCGTATTTTTAATTAATTTATTATCTATAAGTATATTATTAATATTATACACACACTTCAGTTATTCATAGTTCATACTAGTCAAACTTGATGTTTGTTTATCAGTATGCCAAAATAATTTCGCAAGAAAATCATCATAATTGGGAAAAATATATCCAAAAAAACTTTTTTCAAAGACTATAATAAATTAAATTTCCGGCCAATAAATAGCACAGTCAAAACCAAAGTCAATCAATTCTAAAATTGCAGTTCGGATAGCCACTTAAATATAATAAGCCTGTCATATGTTTGAAATGTTAACATATTTTTTTCAATAAATAGTCGGTTTAGTAATAAAACAGATCACCAATTAAAATGGAATTTTGCTCTATTCTATTTCTATTCTATTCTATATCTAAAAATGGTGTTTACTCGAGGGCTCGCGTTTTAAAAGATTTTGGATAAGAAGTTTTATTGCTGCGAGCATTTTATAACATTTCCATAATTCTCCACTCATAGATAATTAATTGCCAAAAGAATTATTTTATAGCCTTTAATATGGCAAGCACCCAACGACTTTTTATTCTGAATTTAATAATTCTATTTGTAACTTAAATTTTATTTTAATTTTATTTTGAAGTCATTACATAACTATGATTGATTGTTTAACCTTCTGCTACGGTAATATAGACTCTTTGTTTTTAAATTTATTTTTAAGTTTTTAGTTCGGTTTGCTATAAAAACGTGTTTTTTAGTTTTTTAAAAACTATTATTTATTTATTAAACTAGAAATTAACTTGAACTCATTGTACGTTGTAATAATGTATAAAACTTTTTGCCACTAATATTTTAGCAATTTGTTATAATAGGGTTTTTTACAAAATATAACTCCCGCAGTATTTTATAACTTAGCCTAACTTTACAATGATCTACTAATTTGAGACTTCAACTTTAATTAATTACAAATATAAAATGGGTTAAAATACGGTCATTAACGCGATTTTATATTAATTTCCTTACTTGAAGTTTAGATTGGTTTGCTGTATCAATATCTATAGATATGATCGGTCTATTGCCACTTCAGCATAGTAATTTGTTTCGCGATGTCGTTGGCGTCAGTTCTATAGCGTAAACTCTATTCTTAACTCGGTCTGCTACAGAAAGTAAGAGTTTGTCATGCTCCATAGCTCCTGAACCACCTTGAATAATTGGACCAGTTTTATAGTAGGTTTACGTTTTAGCTCTGTAGGTTAATTTGATACGACTGGAGGAATAGAATTTTAATTTTTCAACCAAATATGCCAAGATCGAGGCTAGAAATTTGCTATGCTATTTTATATGATTTTCCGGTGTGAGTGAACATGGGGAAAAAGAGTTAGAATCATTATTACAATTCCCGACATGTTTACTTGTAGGTGTGTCTGTTAATTAACATCCGCAGTACCAGTTATGAGAATTACCGTATCACAACAAATATAAGGCTAACAGACTCATGAAAACTGTGAATTAATAATGAGGATAGATTGATAAAACAAAATTAGTTATCAAAGTTCATGTGGCGAAACCCGTGTTGACCAGTGTGAACATGAATTACACGGGAACATTAATTCACGGTAAACGAATTGGTAAGACGAAATTATTTTCAAAACAATGATAATTCCTTCAAGAAATTTGTTAATTCTATTTAATAATAAAATTTAACTGCTTACTTTTTCTTCTTACAAGTTTGATTATGATATTAAATTAAAATAGATAGTTGTTTAAAAAATCGTAGTTATTCAGGAAAAAATGGATGTTTAGGATAATGCTTATTCAATTTTCTGTTTATGGTATCCCCGAGTATATTTGTGCGTCGGTCTCCAGACCAGACATATTTATGTATTCTCGAATTTTAAAGCGCGTTGTGATGATAGAGCCAACTGTTTCTTGGCAAACCAACATCCCCAAAAACCATACCATCAAGGTCAATAAATATTAGGATCTCACATACGAAACTACTCCAAATAAGTTCGTCGTGGATTTGTAAGCGGTAGAAGTGGGAGCGAGAGGTATAAAAGTTAAATTTCTCTGCAACCCACTTAAAGAATTTTGTCCAGAACTCACATTAATTTGTTCTTGGAACGTACTTAGAAGACAGTCCTGGTAGGTTCTTTTTAAATTTGGTTAGATAAAGAGAGGATCTTGGATGATAGAGATGAGCGTTTAACGCGCGTTAGATAAGGCCTCCTTAAACCTACACCTGGGTCCCAGGCACCGTCGAAACTCCACTCATAAGTGGAATATTCCTGACTGGTTTTAACTAACGAGC